AGATGAACGGAATTCTTCGTTAAAGACAAAAATTGCTAGCAATAATATATTTTTTGGTGAAGTTTAGAGCACCTCTTGGGTTCCCAGCAATTCGTCGTTTATGCCCTCAGGGCCAAGCAAGGACATCAGCTTGTCAAGCCCGTCCTGCATGCCCTGGGGCAAAGAGAAAGTTGTTCCATCCTCACAGAGGATCAGTCTAAACGACTCAAGTGTAGATTGACGACAAGTGCTACCAAGTGCAGCGGGGCTGCGTAGCGTTGCGCTTAGAGGAAGCGTAATTTAGGTCACCGACCTTTCGTTCTATACTTAGAACAAGTACGAGTTAGCAGACCGCAATCCGCTGACTCAATGAGTAATTGTTGCCTTAACCCAAGGCTAACTAACTCTTCCGTTTAAAATCCAGAACTGACTTTTATTAATTTTTTATCTGCGGCAAAGCCGCCTAATGTTAATTGTTTAAATTTTCCTAAATATATATAGTAAAGTTTAAATACATGCATTACTACTGGCTACCTTGCCACATAACGTATCCTTGTTTGAGTGCAGTCACACCATGCCCATCTCGTGTGACACCCCCACCTGTTTCCAGGATACGTGTTACCCCGTTACACCTCCGTATAAAATTGAAACTGTATTTTTGCGGCAAAGCCGCCTGTATCAAAAATAGTAGGTTTTCCTAACTAAATAGTAAATAATATGCATAACCACTGGCAGTCCCGCCACGTAGTGGCTTCTTGTTACGGTGTTGCCGCATCATTGTGTGATTGCACTAATTTGTGTAATACACACGTATGTACGGTCGAGCAATCTTGCGCGATTCGCCCTTTCATACAAAGGTACGTGTAACCCCGTTATGCTCTCCCTTTTTGAAGTTGTGGATATCCCCAATTCATATTTAACGGTCGCTTCATACGAGGCTCGCTTGTCTGAGACATCTGCAGTTTCTTTGAGAACAACTTTAAACATTCTCCGCTCAATGAGCCCTGTGTCTATGACACACAAAACACCCAGCCTGGCTGGTAGCGAGGGCACCCACGGGCGAAGCCTATCTTCTTCTTCTTCTTCTGCACAGGGTGCATTGCCGGGCAGTACGTTCGCGGCTTCACGGGAAGCACGTCTCAAACCCTCGCCAACTGAGTGCAACACGACGCGCCTGTCCCGGGCGACGGATTAACTCGTCGAGGGGTTGGAGGAAACGGAATGAACTGATGGTATAAGGTTTACCATCTTGCTCAACAAAGTAGACAAAGACTAAAACACCATTATGCTCTGCGGTAATAGGGGGTATTCCAACGAAAAAGTCTTAACTGACGGACCGCCAGCAATCTGCTGGTACTGGCAGACTCTACAATGGAACCTGACGGTGTGGGGATGGCTTCACTCGCTGACATACTTCACACGTACGAAGGTACTTCCTAGACCAAGCATACATTTTGGACCACCAAAAAAAGTGTGCAAGCGCTGCATAAGTCTTTGTTCGACCGATATGGTCTGCGATAGGTGTATCGTGTACTTCATACACCAACTTTTTCTTCAAGTCTCCGTTGATGAATACGACAACGGGGAAGTCGTCTCTTTCATACACTTACGATAATCCGTTCTCAGTATCGATGAGTTCGTACGCGAACGCGTGGGGATAAGATCGATGAGACTGGATTATCCGTAGTTGTCAACAACTTAGGGATAACATCACAAGCTGGGTCGTTTGGATACGCCTGTCGTATCATGTCGAACAGCTTGCAAATAAACGGATAATTTGTAATCGGGACGCCAAGATAGGGCATCTACCAATACATTCAATTTGCCTGACTTATAAGCCCTTCTGCAGTTGTATTGTACAAAGAATGACAACCAACGCGCACAGCTCTTGTGAGATCTTTGTAAACAGATCCTCGAAAAGTGTCAACAAGCTTCCAGAACCAGGCACTGAATTTGT